TTTACTAGTATATCAGATAAATGTTTTACTAGTATATCAGATAAATGTTTTACTAGTATATCAGATAAATGTTTTACTAGTATATCAGATAAATGTCTTACAAGTAAATCAGATAAATGTTTTACTAGTATATCAGATAGATGTCTTTTGTAGCCAACAGGTATCAGAAGTGTTATGAAAATGAACAGGGAATGAATGTATGACTGTTAAATATTAAATTATGATATAACATACCTGGAATGGAGACATATTTCGTTGTTTCAACCATTACGTCGTTATTTCCATAGAGCAGACACGTGTAGTTGCTTCTGGCAAAACATTGTTTCGTTGTATTTGGAAATAGAAGACTTATTGATACGTTATTTCCGGTAGGATGTAAGGTCAGTTGGTACGAGTTGTTGTCCTTTTGTGTTGTACCATTAGCATAACAAACAGCTTCAATCCCAGAGCTGACGTCAGAGGAGATAAGCTTGATCTCATTCCAGGTATTATGTGCGTATTGGACGTTGCACTCAATGAGTAAATCACCATGAGGAGACGTAAGCGAGCTACCGAGTTGTATTTCTGAGAAATAAAGTTAATTTAACAACAATGAACAATAAAGAACCTTTTTACATGCATATTCTTTAACAAAACATCTGAAAGTATCTACAAACCAATCATTGGTTTATGATAATTGTATGAAAATTTAATTATTATATATTGTTTAGTTAAACCACAAAGATCTTTGTCTCGGAAAATAATGGTCCGCCAAATTTGTTAAAAGCTTTGACAAAATTTATTGACTCCAGTATTTAGCACTACAATATATTAAAGCAACATGTGTTCTTTCTCGTATATGTAAAGTGGACTCTAAAGTTTGTTAGGTAAATCTTATTGTAATAATATGTCTGTTTGAAATATCCTAAGGTTTACGATTGCCCATTTAAAAGAATGAACATATGTACGAGTTATAGTAACGTGCAGGATACTAATTGAAATTGGGCATTTTCTAGTACCAAGATGAACATTATAGCTGGAATATCGTAAGCTATGTACCAGTTTGAATAATGGTAGTAGTTGTAGCTTCGGGAGTTGTTGTCGTTTGCTCTGGAGTGGTTGTTGTTGTTGTTGACTCTGGAGTGGTTGTCGTTGTTGTTTGCTCCGGAGTTGTTGTCGTTGTTGTTGACTCTGGAGTGGTTGTCGCTGTTGTTGACTCTGGAGTGGTTGTCGTTGTTGTTTGCGCCGGAGTTGTTGTCGTTGTTGTTGACTCTGGAGTGGTTGTCGCTGTTGTTGACTCTGGAGTGGTTGTTGTTGTTTGCTCTGGAGTGGTTGTCGTTGTTGTTGACTCTGGAGTGGTTGTCGTTGTTGTTTGCTCCGGAGTTGTTGTCGTTGTTGTTGACTCTGGAGTGGTTGTTGTTGTTGTTGTTGACTCTGGAGTGGTTGTCGTTGTTGTTGGCCCAGGAGTGGATGTTGTTGTCGTTGGCGCAGATGTGGTTGTTGTAATGATCGTTTGGACGCCTTGCTGCGTATAGGAAGCTGATGTGACAACTACGGATCCACTTATTACTGTAAATGACCCCAGTGTCCCCCCTGCTCCTATGAATGTTGTAACCGTTTGGACATATTGATCATTGCCAGGTATAGTGTAACTGCCAGTAATGATTATCACGAAAGTGACAATGATGCTGCCATTTCTAAAAAGATAACAAATGATGTCAATTACCATACGCATCGTCCGAATTTTGCTGTATAATTAATGTAACTGACCCTTTTTGGGATATAAACTAACGATAAAGCAAATGATACATGTGTACTCTATTACTTTTTTATTTCGTATTTGTTTAACCAATGGGTAATTGCGTAGCTAGGATAGTGATATTTGTCAGTACTATATCTAATCGGTGTTAATTAATAAATAGTAAGACATTTCTAAATTCTACAAAGTCTTGCAACCAATTGAAATATTGAGAGAAAAAAATGTTGCAGTTTTTATTAAATTGAATTCGATTCCTCAGGTGGTACCTGAAATTGCATATTAGTATACCTGTAGTGAAAATGCTGTTATCTGATTAGTAGAGGTATATTGTTCATTTCACACTGTCACAATCGAGTTAACATTGAGTCAATGGAAGGGTGATTCCCAACGTCCTACCAACTGGCGACAGTGTGAATGACAATGCAAAATAGTGACCGCGTAAAGAAGATGCGCGTACGGTTCGTTTCAGCGCCATGTTTTGTTGCATTGCAATGCATCGCACAAGCAGGTCCACAGACGCTTCATGTTGCTACCGTGTATTACTCGCCGTGATTAGTACTACAATGTAACGCTGAGATGAGTGAGATTCGCAAGCGCTTTATTAATGTGGTAGTCAGGACAAACATTCGGCGGTTTGCTACGTGAAGTAAACTGAAATATGCACGATTTGCATAGGTCAAGTTTGGTGATTTGGATAAACTTTTGACTAATAAGGACTCGAAAAACATCTACAAAGCAGTTATGATTTAAATGGGAAAGAACGAGGTTTCCGGGCAGTGACACACAAGGCACAATCACTGATGATGATATGAAGAAACTGTTCGGTTACCCCGTCGTAAATTTCAACAATTCAATTATTATAACGGCCGTGATATTTCGCATTGTTAAAAACATAACTTTATTGCTAGAGCTAGAATAGTTCACTGTTAAATTTGGTGATGAAAAAATACAATTTGCGTGTATTTGAAACTTTAAAAACTTTGTTAATTAAAGGATTTACGGTATAATAAAATAAATACCACACTCATCAGAGTTTGACAGTGCCTAGGGTCACGCTAACCAACCTTTGAGCAACCGGGACCACATACCCGGTTCCTGCCTTTTTCATATTGAATCGAAGTTTTACAACCGTATGCGTTTTTATTGAAAGTGAAGAAGCTCATCATTTTTTTTTATCATATTTATTATAATTACCTTAGTGATTTAAGCGTACACACATAGTTCGTGCCCCCTGGGAAGTTGTCGTCTGTAGTAAATGCCTGTTCTACCTATTAGGAGATAAACGTGCATCACAGATAGTAATGATAATGTATTCGCAAGATGTAAGAGTTATGTTTAAACAAAAGAAATAAAACTGAGACAATGCAAATATTTCAACGATAGTTAAATTAATGACTTCAAGGTCCAACTGGTTCTGTTTTAAACAATCAACATGTAATCTAGCTTCTCTAATGATATTACCTTCGTACAAAGGTCCAACTGGTTATGTTTTAAATAATTAACATGTAATCTAGCTTCTCTAATGATATTACCTCCGTACAAAGGTCCAACTGGTTCTGTTTTAAACAATCAACATGTAATCTAGCTTCTCTAATGATATTACCTCCGTACAAAGGTCCAACTGGTTCTGTTTTAAACAATCAACATGTAATCTTGCTTCCCTAATGATATTACCTCCGTACAAAGGTCCAACTGGTTCTGTTTTAAACAATTAACATATAATCTAGCTTCCCTAATGGTATTACCTCTGTACAAAGTTCCTGCTCTGTCGACTTGAACACGGTAGAAGTGGGATCTTCCATGCCTTTTTGAAACTGGTCAGATAATTTTAATTCCAAGCCTATTGTTCCTGTTTTCAACAACCAAAATTATGAACATGAACTTTATAGTAAGTACAAAGCAACTTATTGCATGTTAAAATCACAGTTTCTGTCCTAGTTTTCAAATACAACGATAAAACACATAAAACGCTGTTAAATTAAGAAAAAGTTTGCAGTTTGAACCTCAGCAAAATGGACGATATATAATGTATATAATTACGGGTCCAAAATTTAATTTTGTAATATTTCTTTTTTTACAAAAATGATAACAGAATAATAATTTCTGTTTATGATTTCAACTTCGAATATTAGTACCTATCTGTAGGTGACAAAGTATAGAAACTTACCTTCGGTGATCGGGGATCCTAAAAAACAATTAAATTTAACATTTAAATACTTTATTAAGCTTATTAGTAGAGAACCATCGGTGAGCTAGCAGTATTGTAATACATAGATCTCTTCCAAGAAATATTCGTACAATCACGGCACCAAAGATCAAACAGATCCAAAGTACCAAAATAAAACCAAAGTTGTAGATGCAATGTTTATCATCACTTAAATATAATAATATTATCAATGTTCAGCATTTGTATTCGTAACTTCTTTTTTCATCGTGCTATAGATTATCTCCCTTTATGCATTAACAACTGTATATCTATCTGATACACATCTGTCGTTCATGGATGACAGAGATATGGGCAAGAGTGGAAATCTCCAAAACAGACAGGGGTTACTGTCATCATCATATAGTACACCTAATATTGTTGGTTTGGTAAGGAAATGTTAAATTAGAAGTTAGATTAAAATGCTGCGCGTGCCTCATCACTTATATACATGTACAATGGGTGGTACGTCCTTAAGAATAGTTAATATTGTACATTTTACAAGGTGTTAAGAGTCGGTATTTTAGGTTCGGAAAAGTGAGCGCTTTGCGAGAGAGGCCAGTAAAGGCCATGGCCGGAGGAGCCAGGTATGGCCCGGGTAGAGCACTTGCTATGCTTTAGCAAGCAATATGTGTTTGGTGTTGTAACTCTATATAATCTGTGCACATGTATATTTCCTGTCGTGTTCCAGATACTATGGTAAACAGGACATTGTTTCAATTTTCAGAAAGATCTTGTGGAGTATGGCCTCTGGCTGTAGCAAGAGAGCAGCCACAATGTCAAGTAATGAAATAATAAGTCCACATGTGTTGTTTCGTGTGTTATGCAATACCTATTGGTTTGTCATCATATCTCATCACTGGTAGGGGACTCCAAATATAACTTTTTTATTTCATTGGGTGGTAGATATGTATCAGTACTTCTGTCTGACGAGGAATATATTGATAAGCACTGGTACAATATGAGATTTTACATGTTATCACTTATATGATATGGAGATCTGTGGATAAGTCTATTTTTTCTGAACGATTTGTTGCAGTATATTGTACCATGCCCAGCATAGAAGACATTAAAATAAAAATAATCATGTATTTGATTCGGATGACAACGATAAATACCTTTCCTGAAGACGAAGATAATCAACAGTGGGATAGCTACAACCACCGCTACCATGAATACTGCCAGAGCTGAGTGTTTGATGTTTGTGTTTCCTCCTTTCTTGTCTCGTGGAGAAGGACGGGCAAACTCTTCTCGGCCATGGCGGCGCTTGGATCTATAATTGTGTTCGTCACGGCTCACATCATCTGATCGGCTGTTTGACTCCACATATTGCTGAAGAATAGCAACCAGCAGTCAACTAGTAATTTTATAGGTTTGATTTGATTTTATATTAAAACATAGCTCATGCTAATTTGCTAAGATATAAATGCTAATGTTGTTTCCTTCAGATGTTTACCAGCAATGCAATTACACATTCATTAGTGTGCTAAAAAATACTTTCGTTATATAATTTGTATCTTATGCGTTCCGTATACCAACTTTTTGTCATTGGTTGAAAACTAGATTGCGCTAATACGAAACCTTATGGACACCCCACAGAAACCTAAACAATTAGTACGGTTTTGTTGTTAAGTATTCACGCAAACCCAACTTCAGGTTTGCGTCGTATTTCAACCTTTCAGAAACTAAAGTGAGTTAGTCGTGATAAAGAAAGGGATTTAACTTTTAGAAAACATAATGTGCGGTTGTGTGTAGTTGTTTTGTTGGGTAGGGGTGTAAGTAGGTGTGCTATTGTGTAGCAGGGTAAAATGTCATGCTAAACAATCGAGTTGTGAAATTTGTTGAAAATCATGTGATGCATTCTGAACGTCTATTTATAAGTCTTGCAAGCAAAAAGAACATGCAAACATCTTATAGTTTAACAGTTGAATAGGGTGTATGCCGTAGTATTTCACCGTGTAACAAGTCCGGTGATGCCGTGATACATGTATGATAAGGACTTTATTGACATTGGTTTGTATTATTAACTTACTACACTACCAGTACGTTTAGGAACACATACTTAGTCGTCGTTATTATCTGTGGGTACCACATTACCATGTGATCTGTTCTATTTTTAACACATCAATCATTTAAAGAAACAACAATGCATTGATCATAGTTCATGGCTGTATAAGTATTACTAAATACGAAATATTTAAGTATTTAAGTACAAATACCTAAACATTGATCGCACATGCCCATAATTTAATAAATGTATATACCAGTATATGTTGAACAGTATAATGAATAAACATAGTCTTTTAGAAAAAAACATATCAGAGAAATGTACGGAAGATATGAACATTTATACAGACCCCAAATATACTTATAAATACTACAAATATAGCTTATTTTCAAATTCTATTTTAAAAGCAGTTGATCCATTGGAGGTCTAACATTCTTTACATTCAAATTACTACAATTTAAAACACTGGATTTCAGCGAGGTTTCAAAAGCAAAATTTTAATGTTGAAACTAGAATTCTTGATGCAATATCAACGGTGCAGAATACATATACAACGTGCGACATTGTGCACACATCTAGGAAACTCTACGTACCGGGAAGAAATACATGTATCGATTGATTCATTCTGGACCCTTAAACGTTCATGTAATATTGTCGATGAACCATGACGTGACCTATCCTGTACTCACCTCCGACCAGTTGGCCTTGGTCCAGTGACGTTTTGAGTTGTATGCCATCATGTTCCAGTGGGGATCCTCAACAGCATATTCATCAGATATGGCATAATTTTCGAACGCCATGCCACTCGATACACTTCTGTCCTCACCATTGTCTCGGACGTACGATATGGGTACATATGATTCATTGCTGTTCTTTCTATCAGTTCGTCCGATATAATCCACATCGGGATCTGAAAAAGTGCATAAAGTTGGATTCATTTTATTTATTTCACAAAGTATTCCATCGTAACTTATATGCACTTTTACATTGTATACAGGATACCAATTGAGTTAAATTAAATTAACGCGGCAGACAGGTGACTGAACTGTGGAGTTTAACCTACAAAATACATTCTCACAGTTATTAACAATGGTCAGTAAAAGAGTTGATCAAGAAAATGTTGAGTGATCAAGTATTTACGGACCTCGTGTTACAATTTTTGACACAATTTTTTTAATTTATTTTTTTACTTGCTTTCATATACATACAAAGTTAATTATGGACTCAGGATGAAAAGAAACTACAAACGCAGATATCAATCTTTTATATTGTCATTGAAATTGAAAACTAATTATTCTTTATTATTCTGAAAACAGGTAAGTGTTAATAACAAACATTATAATAGCCCAATGTGTCTTAGTCGGAAGAATGTATCCTATTTTAATAACATTGATGTTTTAAGGGAATGCATCGTCGTTGTTCCACTCTTATTCAATCTATGGTGCCACAGGGACGTCAGGATGAGAGGAAGGGCAAACGTAAAAAGTGGGATTTAATAAAAGTATGATAAATATTGCATCGTGAACATTGGTTTTACACTGCAGAATCTCAATTTTATTTTAGTAAGAAAAAATTACAATAACCTTAATTTTGACATCGAAATCCAGACAATCCAGGCTGACAGAGAAACTGGACAAGGAATCAAGTGAGGAAGTCTTTCAGGAACCCCGAAAATGTCCTCGTTTTTTCTTTAAAAAGTTGTGAAACCTCTATTTGAGATGAAAAGGTTTGCGACTGTGATCCACGATGGCATACAATGGATTTTTGTATTGACCCCAATGACGTGGGGCACAGCCGACAAGGTTTTAATATTATAGTATATAACAGATACATGTAGGACCATATATGGCGTGCATCAATGAATATGATGTATTTGTGTATTTTGTAATATGTATAGAATGAGGTAAGAAGGTGTGTTTGCCTCTTTAAGATGTTTCAGATCTGTTTTCGACTTAATAGTGTTACCTCCATGAAATTATGCAAAAGGCACCCTGCACATTGTTCCCTTCTGTCTTAATTTACTGGTTAACAAGTTTGTTGCGATTTTCCTCATTTTATTGACTTTGGTATACCATAGTCTGTGGACAGGACCTTTGTCCCGCCCCATTTAGAGAACGATCAAAATTGCGGTGTTGC